CGCATTGGCCGTTCGCAGTTCCTCAAACGCCATCTTAGCCGCCACCTCCGAGAACGCGCCCTCCTTGCCCTGGAACCCTACCAGCACGTAGTTAGTTGACAGAGGTGCCGGTTGAACTGGCTGTTGTAGCTCCTGTTCCGCCACCACCGTCTCCTGCTGAGTCCCGTCTGTCTCCACTTTGGTCTCACTTTCCGTCTTGGGTTTCTTGCTTTCGTTGCGTTTACGCGGCGAGATCTCCACGCCACGTTTATTTTCTGCTGGTACAGATGACACTGGGCCCGTAGACGGCCGCCGTCCTGCGCCCGGAAGTCGCTTGGCTGTCGGGTGCATCGCTGAGAGCTCGGCCTCCTTGTCTCGCCACGCGCGGACGCAGTTGCGATCCACATTGTACTGACGAGCGACAGAGCGCAGCGACTGCGCCTTGGAGGCTTCAACCACCTTCAGTTTCTCTGTCACAGTGAAGCTGCGCTTCTTCTCACTCTTTGCCGCCGATGCAGTTGCAGAGGACTCAGGGTCAGCCATACTTGTCAATCAATCCCCTTCAGCAAGTTTTTTGGGCAAGTTTTCATTTTTTGTAAGTTGTTGCTACTAAAAGTGAGCTTGTTGTTTGTATGGGCTGGAGATTTCCAAAACACATTCGTTAAATACCGATTAGTGCACGGTAAGTGTAACGGGGTACGTAGCCCTAAGTGTACCCTGGTTACATGAAGTGTGACACTTCACACTTCAGGTGTATGACACGTCATACTCCGGGATATTTGGTACAAGGTATTGTCAATTCCAGTGAAAATTGGATACGGAGGGTGGATAGTCTGAAAAATCAACACTTAGATATGATTGGTCAAAACTCACCAGCTGCAACTTAGGTTGAGCTACAAGCTGATATTGATGCGAAGTAGCGTCAGCTGGGGATGCTGGTATCTGCTGCTCAGGTTGACCAACAGGAGATGCAGCTCGGGGTAATGTTCGACGTCGTGTGGAACGTGGAGTCCGCGGCTGTCTAGCTGTACCAGGGGCTGGAGAAGGTCGAGCTTGAGCTGATTCACCAGGTGATCTTGCTGCTCCAAGAAGTGACGCTCGTTGGGCTGCGGATGACACTGGACCCGGGGTTGAGTATGCCCTAGTCGTGGTCGCTGGCAGTGCTTCTCGGTCTGGAGGTGTACGCCGTCGTATTGGACCTGGGTGGGGCGGTGTAGTCTCCGTTGGCGTCCGAATACGCTCAGGATATGAAGATACACGGGCCGAATGTGGCGATATACGTGTTCGACCACCACAGCGTGCACCATCAGCTGATGCAGCACCCGCTGGTGGGGGTCCTCTTGCGCTACCAGGCGAGACGTTAGATCGGAGATCCATTACCGTTTGCTGACACGGGAAACGTTGCCGATGCGCTCTGCTCTGACCATGCAGTGTGTGGAAACCTGTCGCATGTAATGTTTCCGTATGATGTATGGTAGGATGAACGATTTCATAGGCCATTCAGCGCGGGTGATTAATAAATCAGGCAGTCAAGTTTTGAGTAGAAAGCACAATACCAAGGTCGTTCAAAGCCATTATTGGTCAAACGAAATTGCATTTCTATAGGTAACTTATAGTTTGTATTAAACCCAAACTTAACCTACCTATAAATATACTCAGTTTACAATCTACCTTATTTACGTCACTTCGCTCTCTTTAAATAAAGAGGGGACCTGTGAACTGCCGTTCACTGAGAGTTTGTATAGATAACTTCCTCTAGCGCAAGGTGCTGTGTGACCCCGTCACACTTGGTAGCACTCGTAGTCAATCCACGCCACCGCGGGTAGACTACCTGAACCTCTCCGAAGTTCGTTGCCATGGATAGGAACGACTTCTCCCATATGATCGACTCTCAGTTCGAGTTGGTTCGGAAGATGGCAGACATCTTCGGGATGGAGGCCCTGCAGAGCCTGGTGGTGTCAACACCGGCTGAGCAGCTCGAGCGCGTCAATGTATTTGACGCGTACGAGCAGGGCCTCATCGCGCATGTGCGGGAGAACCTGCAGGCTCCGGCGGCGGAAGCAAATCCGCCTCACCCGAAGCCAATACGGCTGAAGGTTAAGTCGTATGAAGGGAAGGAAGGCGAGAACCTTCACTTCTGGGTCCGAGAAGTAGAGCTCGCGATGGACGTGGCTCTGATCTCGACCGAGCAACTGCGTGTTGCCTTTGCACTCTCCAGCCTTAGCGGCCGTGCTAAGAGTTGGGTGTACACACGGGAAGCAACATCCCCTGGATGTTTCACATCCTAGGCTCAGCTGTGCGATCAGCTCCGAGCCGCTTTCCTCCCGGCGGACTACGAGTACCGCCAGCGTTCGCGCTTCCTCTCGTGTAAACAAGGGAGGCGTGAGCTGCACGAGTATGTGCAAGAGATACAGGAGCTCACGGCGTCCCTAGTGGGAAACCCACTCAACGAACACATCAAGATGACTGTGTTCATGGACGGCCTTCGAGTGGGCACCGCACGCACATAGCAGTTCCGGGTGCAGTCAAACGCCCTTGAAGAGGCGATTCAGGTGGCTCTTCAAGAAGAGTACAGTCATCGCCGGGCGCGTACGCCGGCCTCAGCATGGCCTGGGAGCTCCTTGTCGGCTCCCGGTCGAACAAGCCCCAGCGGACCAGCTCCCATGGAACTCGGGTCCGCCGAACAGCGTGACATCCGCTGCTTCGGCTGCGGGAAGATGGGCCACTTCAAGCGCGACTATCCCGCGGAAAGACTCCGCAGACGGTCCTTCCGCAAGCCCGTCCTCAAGGGTCGCTAACAGAAGCCAGGATCCCGGGGACAGTAGAACGCCGGGAACCAGTAGGGGCGGGGCGCCCTACTGGGGAAGAACTAAGTCTTCTCGATGGGTGCGCGGGTGGCGCGTACCACGGGGACTTAGCCCCTGAGAGTCTTCGCACTCTCGAATCGGCGAAGAGCAGCGGCGGGTTGCTCGTAGTACACGGATGTGTACGGGGATACGATCATCCCTTTAAAATCTTGATCGATTCAGGGACGTCGAAGCATTTCGCACGCCGCCAGACGGCTGCTCGTAGCAGCAACAAGTTGTCCAATGCTTTGAGTGAAAGCAAGGGCAACGGAACGGTAGCAGTGCGACTGGCCGACGGGAAGGTCGTCACTGTCCCAACGTCCACGTGGATCTGGCCGTCAAGTTTGAAGACTTTGACAGCCTCGAACAGCTCCCTGTTTTCGACATGGATCCGTATGATATGTTCCTGGGCATGCCCTGGCTTGAGAAGCACGAGCCCAGGATCGACTGGCGAGGCAAGGCAATCGGTGCCAGCCACCCTGCGCAGTCCGACAGAGCATTGGTGAGTCATGTTCCCACCTCTGTCAGGACCCGGGGCACCCGCAAGGGCTGCCAGGGTACCAAAGCATCCGGCAGACGCTTGGGAGTCGTCGACGTATATGACGACTCCGAGGAAGTTTTGATGGTGGCAGCGCCCAGAAGAGGCGCTGGCCAAGTGGGTAACTTAGGTCCACAGGCGGGTAACTTAGTTCCGCAGACAGCTGCAGCTGTCAAGAACACTGACAATAGTGTGCTCAAGGTGGGGTAACAGAGTTCCACTCACGGTCACCCAGACCTTAACTGAAGAGGAAGACGTCGGATACGCTTCCTGTGTGGGTAACACAGTGCCACACGCGGTCGCCCAGACCTTAACTGAAGAGGAAGGCGCCGAACACGCTTTCTGTGTGGGTACCATAGTACCACACGAGGCCACGAGTACCTCGGATGTCGGAGCGCCGACATCCCCAGACGTGGGTAGCAAAGCTCCACGTCACGGTCGCCGTCGTCAACGACGCCGCCGCCGCCTCAAGTCGGATCCGAACTTCGTTCCGATCAGCGTCGCTTCAAGCGACTCGGAGTCCAGGGCCCGGGCTCCTCCGACAAGGCCGGTGGAAGAGTGTTGTCAGGGCCCGAACTCCTCCGACAAGGCCGGTGGAAGAGTGGCGTCGTTGCCGACTTCCCCAGACGTGGGTAGCAAAGCTCCACGTCACGGTCGCCGTCGTCAACAACGCCGCCGCCGCCTCAAGTCGGATCCGAACTTCGTTCCGATCAGCGTCGCTTCAAGCGACTCGGAGTCCAGGGCCCGGGCTCCTCCGACAAGGCCGGTGGAAGAGTGTTGTCACATCTTCGATGGCGAGACCGGTTTACCCGTCAAGGCATCTGGTGTCCACTTGGAACCGTTGCCAGAGGTTGCAGAGATACTGAACCTCGAGGAAATGACGGCTGAGTCTTTCCTGACGAACCTCAAGGCTGGAAAGTTTGCTGAGATGTTACTCATGAGACCTGAGACCACTCGAGAGGAGCTGAACTCCTCCTCTGTCTTGGACGAGAACGTCCTGGAAGACCTGAACAAGCAGCGTCAGACGCGCTTGGGTTCTGAGATCGTAAAGAACCCCAAGGATTCGGTGTATCCTTTGGTGACGGAGTATGCGGACGTGGTGAACAAACACCCACCGACCCAACTCCCACCGGATCGAGGCGTACGCACAAGATTGATCTTGTGCCCAGCACAAAGTATTGTGTCACGAGGCGATGGCCTCTCCCGCGCGAACAGTGCGAGGTCATTGATGCCTTCTTCGCCGCGAAAGCGAAGGCAGGCATGGTGCGGGAGTCGAAATCCCCGCACTCGACGCCAACTTTCTGCGCTCGAAGCCGAACGGAAAGTGGCGTCTAGTTCATGCTTATAACAAGCTGAACAACGCGACGGTGCCGGCCCAAACACCAATCCCACGAAAGGATGTGTTGTTGAACAACATGGCCGGGAGCGTACTGTACAGTGCGCTGGATTTGGTAGACGAATACTTCCGAATCCGGATGCGAGAGAGCGACATCCCGCTCACCGCGGTGATCACTCCAAGCGGCATGCTTTGGGAGTGGCTCGTCATGCCACAGGGCTTGGCTAACGCCCCGGCGACGTTCAAGCGTCTGGTAACGCAATTGTTCCGCCCTTTGCGTACCTTCGTACAGACGTACTTCGACGACATATTCGTCCATAGCCGTGCCGAGGGAGGCAAGACGGCCATGGAGGTGCATCTAGGACACCTCCGTCGAGTGTTGGACGTAATGCGAGCAAACAAGCTGTACGCCAACATCGACAAATGCGTTTTCGCGTCACCAGAGATTAAAGTTCTCCGTTGCTTCGTAAACAACGTGGGCGTTCGGGCTGACCCAGACAAGGCAAGGCCATAGCAGCATGGCCGACGCCCCGATCCCAGAAGGATCTTCGAAAGTGGTTGGGCTTGGCCAACTACCTTCACAAGTACAGCGCAGGGTACGCGGGCTTCGCTAAGCCCTTGTCGAGCCTCCTTCAGAAGGACGTCGACTGGCGCTGGGAGCAAGAGTACCATGATGCTTTTGACAGCATCAAGGCCAGTCTCCAAGAGACCCCTGTCCTGGCCCTGCCGGACGAGACGAAGCCGTTTAGCGTCGTCTGCGATGCCTCCGATTACGCCATCGGATGTACATTGCTGCAGGCCGACACGGCTGGACATGAACGAGTCATCTCGTTCCAGTCCAGGCAGCTCAAAGCCGCCGAACGGAACTACCCAGTCCACGACAAGTAGCATCCTGGCAATGAAATATGCCCTTGTGAAGTTTCGTGTTCACCT